TGCAAGCTGAATCCTTGGGTTCCTTTAAATCAGAGCTAGATAAGATTTTAATAACTCTGAGCTATTAGTTAAGGGCCGAATGGCCTCCTCTCGTTTGTATAGTTCTTATGTTCTTATGTTCTTAGGTTTCAAATGAGATCCGTTCCCTAAGTTTGTCTTCAAGTCGAATTTGTAAATTGTAACAATAATACAGAACATAATAGTAGTATAGATAATAATACAATAACAAAAGTGACTACATACCTTGCTTTGCTGTACCTCAGGTCAATGAAGAGCTGAAGCCGCACAATATTTTCATCAGTGTCACAAAGTGTGTTACGAACCATTGTATTTGACATAATAGGCTCTATGAAGGTCCGTTCAAAAGTACGAGTTGTCTGTAAGTTGAACGTTCTTGGCTACCTGTGATATTATCGATGGAAATCGGTGGAAATCCTTATATTGCAAAAAAAAAAAAAGTAAACTATACGTTGGAAAAATAATAATAATAATGTTGCCTTCAGAAACACTTTGAGGGTAAACAACATTCCATGAAGTCAGGGCACAACTTAATCATTTAAACACAAAGGTCTATTTATTGGGGGGATGTAAGATGCAAAATTAAATATTGGGGGTACATATGCCCCCCGCCCCTGCCGATTCCTACACCCCTGCACATCACTGTTGTACTGAGCTGTTATTTTTGCACTTGTGGCCTTCCAGTTAGTTTTAACTAGTCTGGCCATTCTCCACTGACCTCTCTCATTAATATGGTGACTTCCCCCACAGAACTGCCACTGACAGAAACTTATTTGTTTATCATTCAGTTCTATGTAAACTATGTTCTATGTAAACTCCAGGGAACATATGTGTGTGAAAATCCCAGGATGGTTTCAGAGATGCTGGAACCACCACACATGGCACCAGACAATCACACCACATTCACAATCAATTAGATCATGCGTCTTAGCCAATCCATTGCCTTAATCAGTGTTTTCCAATCCACGTTTTTGCTCCTACCAGGAGCTGGGAGGACTGTTTGTCATGGAGCTGGGAGGGAGCAAAAACATGGACTGAGCTGGGTAACACTGGGCTAGATGAACAGTAAATTAACCTCTTGCCTCTTTGTACAGACAGTTTGCGTTAATGCACAGATGTACCTAATAAAGTGGCCACTGAGTGTACAATGATATTAAATATAAATATATAAAAATACATTTTATCATTGTTTCTAAGCGATTTCACAGTGAATTAACAACTAATTGCACAGATTATGTTTATGTAATCTATAAAGAGGCATTAACATGTCGAAATCTTACTGGACAGTATAATGCAGTGTGCATGAATGACAGCTATAACTCAAACTGGGTGCGTTCAAATGGACACACCCCCTTTTTCAGAGTGTAGCAGAGAGTGGCCAGATGATGTCTCTCACTCTGGCAGCAGGTGGCTTGCAGGCATCGTATCCTTCTCCAACAGATGTCTGAAAGCGTGACAAAGCCGTCACATTCGTTATTTCTGCTGACAATTTGGTCGGGCATCACTGGAGTCCAATTAACCCTGCGGGGGAGGTACCAGATTGGGCCAGGCCCCCCTACTCTGCCCCATCCCCATCCCAGGGGACACCCCCCCAAGCTGAGGTGACTGAACCAGCCATATTACTTTGCTGCCTCAGCCCATATGCAGGCCGCAGCTGATGGTGAGTGGTGCTGTTATCAAAGTCCGCCATGGGTTACAGGGCAAGGTCAGGCGCGGGGTGCCGTGAGTAGGATGACCTTGAATAGTATGTTCACAGGAGGGCCGCAGAGTAGGGCGTCCGCAGGAAGGCCCCTGAGTAGGGCATCCGCAGGAGGGCCCCAGAGTAGGGCGTCCGCTGGAGGGCCGCAGAGTAGGGCGTCCGCTGGAGGTCCGCAGAGTAGGCCGTCCGCTGGAGGGCCCCAGAGTAGGGCGTCCGCTGGAGTGCCGCAGAGTACGGCGTCCGCTGGAGGGCCCCAGAGTAGGCCGTCCGCTGGAGGGCCCCAGAGTAGGGCGTCCGCTGGAGGGCCGCAGAGTAGGGCGTCCGCTGGAGGGCCCCAGAGTAGGCCGTCCGCTGGAGGGCCCCAGAGTAGGGCGTCCGCTGGAGGGCCGCAGAGTAGGGCATCCGCAGAAGGGGCCCAGAGTAGGGTGTCTACAGAAGGGGCCCAGAGTAGGGCGTCCACAGGAGGGCCTCTAAGTAGGACGTCCACAGGAGGGCCTCTAAGTAGGACGTCCACAGGAGGGCCCACAAGTAGGGTGACCGCAAATGAGGGCCTCTGTGTAGAGGATCCACAGGAGCGCCCCCAAGCAGACCATCCTCCGGAAGGCCCCTGAATCGGGCATCAGCAGGAGGGCCTGCGAGTAGGACGTCTATAGCAGTGCCGGAAATGGGTGTTACTCAGTCACCGCCAGCAAGTCAGCCGCTCCGGTATGTGCAGAGAATGTGTGCAAAGATACTTCCATTTGTGGCAAAGGTAAATGGGGGAAGCAGCGGCACGTTCAGGCACATCCCACGCACAGACTGAGGGAGGGGGGGGGTAGGGGGGGCAGAATCTGTCTGGCAGAAAGATAATTGGCATCGATTCAAGATCCATGGTCACGACTTTTCAGTGGTATTTTTAAAATTTCGTTGCTGGAAGGGAGAATTCCTCCTAGGATGTTTGTATAGCAGTGGAATTTGGGGGGTGGGGGGCGTGGCCTGTTCACTGTAAAATGCTTCAGTGCCAGCTGTTTGCATCCTGTTGACTTGGGGACTGTTTCCATGGTAATAAGAGGGAGGACACTGCGTTGGAGAGAAGAGCTGCATATGAAATAGGCAAAAGAAGTAAGAATTTTCTGGAGAAGACATAGAATACACCCTGGCAAAGGATCAGTGAGCATCACATCTTAAAACAAGAAAAAAATATTAGCCAAAACTGATATCACAACCATTACTCTCATTTTGTTCATTCTCAGATGACCTACTGTAGGTATCTGAAGGAAACAACCACTATTAACCACATTACAACCACTATTAACACAGAATCAGCCCATTTTCTCCAAAAATATCTCCATTTGACATCACATGTCTTCCCTGATCTGTCCTGTGGTCTATGAAGAGTCGTCAGTGTCATGTGTTATTGTATTACTCAATAAGGTCAATACATTTTTATAATCTTTACAGTTTGACCCTTAACCTCTCAAACCCTGTCGTTATGGAAATGAGTAATAGTGCAGTATTAGCATAGTATATCATGGTATAGTACAGCATAGCATAGCATAGTATATAGTATAGTATAGTATAGTATAGTATAGTATAGTATAGTATCACTGAAACTGATAATTACTGGCAGCAATCCAAATGGCAGTAAGGAAGTCTTTTTCAATACATAGTCCTGCTCCGTGAACAATAAATTGCAACCCTTAATTACTATTCAACACCGATAATCACATTTTGCAAGAACATTCATTCAAAGCTATTTTTTCACACTGAAGACATACAGAGGTTGTACTGAATAAGATGTACATTCTGTGGTCTTTAAGCCATCTGCAGGGACAATTTTCATAAGCAAAGACATTGATTGTTCCTGTAAAAAAGAAACAAAAGTTTGTTCATGGTTACAAGAAGGAATATTACTTGTAGCAACTGAACTACCAGTTATTAACTTGAGGTGAGAAAAAAAGAAACCACCATTGTTAAATTAAACATGTTTATGTCAGTTTCTCACATTTTTTCTGGCTTATACTCTACACACAGTTTCGGGTATGAATTATGTCGGTTTTACATTTTGATACGATACTGCGATGGGCTGTGCATGCAATTTGAGGTGCCAAAATGCCCCCACATTACTTATACAAAACATAAAGACTCTAATTAATACTTTAGACAATCCTGGACGATATACAGAAGCACAGCATTAGACTATAATGACAATGAAACAGACGAGTAACCAAGTTACATTTTCCACAAGAGACACGGGAGTACAAGTGTTTCATTAAAGGGGGGAAAATGCTTTACATTTTTAAAGCCATTCTGTACGTAACATGTAAGTTAAAAGTACATTGCAGATGCTACTCTCTGTAATTCTAATGTTAAAAGCAGCAGGTGAGAAAATGCACAAAAAAAACTTGTCCTGAAAAATGATTTGATCAGAGGATGATGGATAAAGTGGAAATTTTACAGTCAGTAATCACAGTAATCACTGTGCAAATCACTCCAACATGAAGTTACTAATCTCTCTACTGTCGATGTGAAAAATTCTAATTTCCCCACGTGAGAGAGAAACCCATAGCCTCATGTTTTTAGGGATAAAGTTAAGCAATATCATTTAATTCGTACGAAACTAAAATCACAGTGCAAATTGGTACACGCCGATTTTGTTAGTAATCTTGTGATTCTCATATGCATGTTGGAAACAGAAAAAAATGAGCAGCGGTGATGTGGTCTTAGCCAGGGCTGGGCTCTGGAGCTGCAGAAAAGAACAGCCAATGGGTACTATGGTCTAAATGAACGCATCAGTCCCATGTAGAACGTCCCGGAAGACTGAGACTGACCAGCCTCGCACACCTGCAGACACAAAGCCTCTGGGGCTGTTTTCATCATGCAGGTACGACAGCTAGTTAGCAAAACAATCCATCGGCGATCAAAGATAAGACACAGGTAGGGTCACAAATGTTTACCGCGTTATATAGTGTTTAGGCTACATTACATCTACCGCCAACCCCACGATAAGTCCTGGTAGAGACCAGTAGTACAATATCATTTGTGATTGACTGAAATTGGACAGTCATAGTTATCACCGCACAGAGGCAAAAACAAAATTCAATAAAAATATACAAAACGAAATTGATGAAGAAAAATACAGGCGGACAGAACCGTGTGGCCTTTCTCTTCAGTTTCACAAAATTCTCAGTGTTTCCACACTGAACTTTCAGAACAAAACTCTCAGGAAAGGAAAAAACAAAACAGGAAAATGAGCTCACCATCATACAGAAAATATTGATGATCATAAGTCACATTTATTTATCACAGCACAGTTATTTCGTTTCTATTTTCGGCTGTTTACATCTTACACGCTAATTGTGGGGGTTGGTAGGGAGAAGATGTGTGGGGTTCACTGAACATGGAGCCGTCCTGCACTGGGCGGTCCATCAGCAGGCCGACCATCAAGACCAACGAGCCCCTGTGCTGTGTTACAAAGCCATCGGTTCTCCAGTCATGTTTCCAATGGTCAATGGTCAGTCAACGGTCTTCCATCGAAGGATATCCATTCGTCCATTTTTTTCCCGGGAAATCAGAGTGGTCAGGAGGGGGGCCTCCCTCTCCATGCCAGGAATGAGCCCCCAACTCCAAATGTGCGAGGCTCCCATTCAGTGTCCACCCTCGGACCGTGACTGCGGCTTTGAGTTCCGTGAATAACACTGTACAAGCGGCGTGTGTCGCTCACAGCGGTGCCAGTGCCCCCACCGATCCGTCATTAGCGTCATGGTAAAGAGGAAGCGTCTCTGAGCAAAATCCCAACAGTGCAAATCCCTAAATATCAGAAACGTATCCATGGGAACATGAATCCGGAACATTGTCAGGACTGACATGCAATACATGCAATAATCACTTTTTAATTAGCATATCTATACATTTATGTTACACATTTTCTCCTATCCATTCTGTATCCTTCCACCCCTGTGAAAGTTAATTAGCATATGTATACATTTATGTTACACATTTTCTCCTATCCATTCTATATCATTCCGCCCCTGTGAAAGTTAATTAGCTTATGTATACATTTACGTCACAAATAATTTCTTATGCATTTATACTTTTCCTCCTGTCTTTATGAACTGCAACTTGCAGAACGACCCCTGGAGGTAATCCACCAAATTAAAGAGATAGAATAAAATAGCAGTGAATGGTGCTCAAGAAAGGTGAAATGTGATCGTCTTTGAAGTTGGTCCTCCGCTGTGATATTAACCGGGCACTTTGGGAGATCTGGGGATTTTTCTTTACTGTACATTAATTCAAGTCACATTTTGGCTTGTGGCTTCACATACATGAAGGAGTTCTTACAGATAGTTCTCCATCAGCCATCTACGAGGATATTACGAGGAGCTTTTTATCATGACTGCCTACTGGCTCAACCAGCAAAAGTTTTGACCTCATGAAAAAGACCAGATTTTTCTTTCTGAATTTAACACGCAGCTCTATGCGTGATTAATTCATGTAGCGCCACTCACAAGTTTTAACATCTGAAAAATCCAATCGAGAAAACATAACTATGTGAGATCAGAGCTTGAATCGGGGACTTTTGATGTAATTGCCTCTAACGAGCTGAGCCGTTTCACAGGATCACCTGGGACCAAAACTGTTGAGTGGATTCCCACAAAGAGATGTTAATAAGCACAGCACAGGAGAAACATTGTGGGGAACGTGAGCTAGAATGACAATATTACCTTAACTGTCTCGTCTGCGACTTCCCCCCAGGCCATTAAGACCGAGCGCTGCTGTCTGCTTGCGTGTAACCAGTAATGACAACCTCTCTGCAGCTATCTGCACGTAAACAACCGGAGACACTTCTGTTCACGGGTTTGCCAACAGCTGGTCAGCAGAGAAGCAAATCCGCATGCAAAAATAAGAAACAATATCAATAAATAAAAATAAACGACAGAAACGACATTCCTGTTTCCTTTTACCTTCCTTTTTTTTTGCCCAGCCAGAGGCACAATGCACAAACACAGGTCCAGTGCACATTCCGCGTCCCAGTGCCACCGTAACGTCCCAGACACTGCCGTCAGGATGATGCCACATGATGACCCATGCAAACATGATCGAGCCCAGGAGTTTGACGAGACGTGCACGTGATTCAAGACAGGATTCCAGACAATTCCGCGGAAAAGATGGATTAAAAAAATCACAGACATGAGGTCCTATGGAGCGATATCTTTTGGAAGCACATTTTTGTAATCTAAATACAGGTATGTACATAAGCTCCCTGATTAAATACATTTTTACATAATATAATGGCCAAGTCCTGAGCCTCTAAGAGTCCTTTTATTGCCATTAAGTACCGTAATATGGGGCTACTGGGATTTTTAATAAAAAGTACTATTGTTAAAGTCGTCACATATATGGCCATGGTAGGGAGAAGGTTCCTTGTTTTTTTGTCCATTGATAAAATGTATCATTTTCTAATATACACCATTTTTATTATGCACAATTTCTATTATGAATATCTAGATGCTACTGAATTAGGAGACTCGGGGAGGGAGCTAGAGAGTCCGCGGGCGAGCCTTAGCCTCACAGGATGGATGGGATGGGGGAACGAGAGCGCCTCAGCGGACAAGGCGAGCCGTACGGCGAGGTTACTGGAGACAGTCTGAGGGCATTGCCAGTCACGCCCGCTATGTTGTTTAAGCTCCGGGATTTTTCGTATCCTTCGATGCGAGAGAATGCACAAGACACACGTGTAAGTCAATCCGCCCCTCGAGGAGGGGACAGGGACAGAGACAGAGGACGGCGCAACGGTACGATACACACGCCATGCACCACAGTCACACACATGTTCAGCAGTGCATGGAAACATGTCCACCAATCAGTTATACAGGCAGTCATATATATCCACAATGCAACAACATTTCGCAAACGGGTATTTTAAGTGCATCGTTTAAAAATAGATTCCATGAATCATTTTACCTTTCAATATTTAAATAGCACTTCATTATCATTAACAAATGCCCCCCCCCCCCCTGAATCTTAATTGACTAACATTAAGATCATGCACTTATAATTTGAATAATGAAACAGGATACAACCAAATTAATGAGCACATTTTTCACAAATCGTATCATGTTAAGAAGAAGCCGGGGTTAGCCTTTGTGACTCATTGGGTGTCACTGAACGTAGGACATGAGCTCTGCAAAAAGCCTCTCGAAGGCTGGAGAATCAGAGGCGGCTTAGCGACTTAGCATCAAGGATATAGGTTTAGCTGTTCCACCTTAAGACAGTGTGTACCCAGAATTCAGTGAATATCCAGTTGGATGAACTGGCAAAACACGCTGTGTAAAAGGCTTTTGGGTTGAAATGTAACAGCAATAGATGCATATGTTGGTTAATATAAGAAATGACCAAAGGTGGAGATTTGAGGTCCAGAGAGTACAAATCCAGACAAAGATTTTGTTTCAACCAACCGGTTGAGCACTCTGTGACTGTGACTCTTTATACTCAACCGGTTGGTTGAAACAAAATCTTGGTCTGGATTTGTACTCTCCGGATCTGAAACCTCCTCCTCTGGAAATGATCCATTGATCCTTGCAGGTTTCATAGTCACTTCTGTACTACAGGGTCCCGGCTGGCCTGGAGAGCTCCCCAGGGGGCACTTGGCCCAGCTTAGTGACACCAGTCCACCTGAACCATGTGTTTTTGGATTACGGGAGGAAGGTACGGAGAAAACATAGAGCAAGAGGTGGTATTCAAAGCCATAGCTGTGGAGGCGTGAGGCTGCAGTGCTGCCTGCTGTAAAGAATGACCCATCCAGCTGCCCATCTTCTAGCCACTTACCATGGGCCGGGTCACAGAGGGGCTGGAGCCTATTCCAGGCAGCATAGGACACAAGGCTGGGGTACAACCTAGGCAGGGTGCCGCTGTAAGGATGTACAGTACCAGTCGGAAGTCTGGACACAGCTGCTTTTAATGCACTCTCTATTTTAACTATGTTATTCAGCTTATAGTAAAAGGTCTCGAGGCAATGAAATAGACATTCCAAATATTGCAATGGCCAAGGGATGTGTTAGACATCTCAAAAATGTTCTCAAATTTTAGACTATTCAAAATAGCCCGCTTTTGCTACAATGACAGCGTTGCAGACTCTTGGCATTCTTTCAAGCAGCTTCAAGGTGTAGCCACCTGAAATGCTTCTCCAACAGTCCTGATGGTGTTTCCATAAGTTCTGGGCACAGGTTGACTACCTTGCTCTTACTACCAGCTCATCCCAAACCAGCTCTAGGTGGGGGGATTATGGGGGCCAGGTCATCTGTCACAGCACTCCGTCTCTTTCCTTACTCACAAGACATTTTCTGAAGAACCTTGAGGTATGCTTAGGGTCTTCATCTTGTTTCAGTAGCAGTGTCCAGACTGTTGACTGGTACTGTTTCTCTTACCTTAATGTTCTGTGCCACTTATATGATATATGAATTTTGGCATGGAACCTAGGCTCATTTGATCTATATACAATCTGTCATTGTCTGTTACAACTCTCTGCTACGGATTATTACCACTACAAGAAATTCCTGCCAGAAATGGAATCATAATGCATGGAATTATGGATCCCACGTCAAGTATTAGATAGAAAGTGTTAGCAGGCAGATGACGTGTTCAGCTTGGGCACTGACAGTGCCATTGGAAAATGCCCATAGTGACTGTTTCATAGCCAGTGTTGCAGTTTATAGTGGCATGTTCCTCAGAGTACTGCTACACATATGGCAAGAGCGAAAAATACAAGCATATGAATAAAACATTGAGATCGCCTAGCCACGCATTAACTCTGTGGGTGCTTAGGCAAGGGGGGAGGGTCGTCTGCCAAAGCGGTGACGGTTCGAAGGGCCGTGGCATGGCCGTTTAGAGAGCAGCGATGACATCATCCGTCCTCGTTGCGCGTTTAAAAGAGACTTCCTCTTGTTCATGTGTCAGACCAACAGAAGCAAGCAGAAGTTCTGAACCACAGATGGACGTGACAGCGATTAGCGGCGAACCTCTGAGTAGAAAGAGAATAAATCCTCCCGAGAAAACAGAAATGATGACATCTTGGGTAGCTACAGGAGGAAGCAGACACCCATTCCCTCGATTCAGTCGGGCATGACGCGGCATTCTTCTTTCCGAGACTGAACACACGATTTATCCGGGGGAGGGGGGGTTAGTGGACTCATCCTAGCTCTAATCACACAGACCTTGACAAGTGACATCTTAGAATCCCACAGGGACCTTCTTGGAACCTGGTAGGATTATGTATGATTGTTAAAATTCGGGTTTAAGATACCGTATCGCCATTTAAGGACATAAGGACTACGGTGAGACCCTTCCCCCCCCCCCTTCCTCCCCTTGCTGGCTTACCAGGCCAAAGAGAAGCCAATCTAAAATTATTTCTGTGGTTTAATGTTAGGCCAGTTTGCCTTACGCCCCCTAGAGGTTCATTTATTATTAGCTCTCCTCCATTGTTGTGCTGCTCATTATGTTGCGCTTAATTTAGCTTCCATCAGCCCGCGGTGCTGTCGCAGAGTCTTTTTTAAGCAATTTGGGCCATTTTGGCTATTTTATTTCTAAGTTCTAGAAACAAAACTTAACCCGATGCAGACTATAATTAATGATATGTCTGAACCTTAACTGCACTCCTAGGAGTCTCATTTGAAGCACTGTTGCCTCCGGCCTCCAAGGTCATGGGTTCAAATTCCGGCCTGCTCTGTGAGGGGAGTTTGCAGGTTCTCCCGTTATCATGTTGGGTTTCTTCTCACAGTCCAAAAAGATGCAGTCTGGTGACCTGGTGTCTATAAATTGCCATGGTGATAATGTGTGTGTCCTGTGATGGACTGGCATCCCATCCAGGGTGTCCCTGGCTTCGTACCCTGCCCTTCCCAGCACAGGCTCCAGGCTCATTGTGACCCCATACTGGATAAGCAGTTGAAAGATGGATAGATGGTATAAACTAATCCCCAGCTGGTTTCCATTTGTAGCACTGTGTTCTTGAGCATTATCAGTAAAGTCGTCATTAGGGTCGGCCTTGTGCAGTCAGCACTCTAGGGGAACTCTAACAAGTCCATAGGACATCCTCAGAACAACAATTTGGAACTTCTGTGGTCCCCCAGACATCCCTAAGAATCTTGCTGGCCCTTTCTGAGTTGTTCACCACAGCACATGGTGAGATCTTTCACCCTTATCTTTCCGAAGGGTTCTTGTTCTTCCACATAACACATTCTGCTCATGCCCTCCGTAATGACCTGCTAAGGTCATGATAATAATTTGTTAAATTAGTCCCTTGATGTTTCCTCACATCAAATCTACTTGACTGTGTTTCATTTTTGGGCAAAAACATGATCAATTTCCAAAGAAACCCTGTCTGTCATACAGAAGATGCAAGTTGCAAATCACATATATCTTATTATTTCTATATGGAACCTGAACTATAAGATCTGTCTGGATTTATGTAATAATTATGCTCAGAGGAGCAGGAACAGGCTGGTTTTCTTATAATAATGACATGTTGAGGATGAGGCACAGTAATCTCAGCACTAGGAGAGGGGCCGTGAGTATGGCTTCTACAGCACAAATCTGGAAGCGAAGGAGGCCAGTGACCATCTCCTCCCATGGTGCAAAAATGACCCTCAATTGCCGGGGGAGGGGAGGGGAGGGGGGGCTGGTGTAGTTGAGATTAAAAAAAAAATCCTGTCAGAGCCATGCTTCTTCAGGCTCAGTGAGCACCAGGAAACACTGTGACCAGACACGATGTGAGCTTCCTGCCAGCGGGGGGCGCTCTTCAAAGGGGGGGCTGTGAAGCCACCTCTGAGTGAGGTCACCTAGCCACCAGCTGGCCCCATATACCGTCTACGGTGGTCAGGCTGCTGCTCCTCAGAACAGAGCACCTCTGGGTTGATGCTGTGTGTCATGGATTCTTTACAGACAGGCTCAGATTTCCAGAGCCAGACTTGGAGGTGCAGCACCTCAGTAAATATTCAGCTATTACCCTCACAAGGGTAATTACTAGTATTACAAGTAGGGGATGGGTAGTGTGCAGCAGGCCGGTCATTTGACTTCCTGTGCAATACGATCTTTCAGGGTCTGTGCTGTTTTTCAGGCAGAAGCTGCATTCAGGAAATCTCGTCCCACTAAGCTATTTCCATTCTCTGTGCATTCTGTTACTGACTCCCAGCATTCAGGAGGAAGCCTGCATGATAAAAAATGTATAAGGCTATATCAGTATATGGAATACTTATAAGGAACGGCCATATAAGGCATAACCACAAGGGACGACGTGTTGCCGTCGATGTCTGACAAGCACGGTTAATATTGTGACTCTCTCAGAGTGTCAGGCGTGTAAATGTACTGACCTTCCCCCTCCCCACACTCCTCCGGAAAGGTGGTTGTGCCTCCTAGAGTTGTGCTACTTTCCTGGGAATCGTGTGCATGATTAAGGTGTTTGAGACCAGGGGGAGCACAGTGTCTGTTTTCCTGGAGCCTGCTTTTTCAGTGATAGAACATCCCGCCCCCCCAGTGACATATGAATGACGACTTTCCCAGAATGCTTTGCAGAAACTGCACATGATATATGACGATTCAGAGGATGGGACCACACTGATGTGTACCTGCTCAGAGTCATAGTGATCAAGAATGTTCAACCCAAAGCCTTAGGACTGCATTTATAATAGCTAATGCTATGGGTTCAGTCCATCCATTTAAGATAGACTTTTGAGCTGGTATTGCTACTACCATTCATCCATCCATCCACTCATCCCACCCTCCCACTTCCATAAATACTTATGCAATACAGCTGTATTTCCCAATCCGGTCCTCAGGGATCCACAGCTGGTCCATGATTTTGCTCCCTCTGAGCTCCCTGTAAGACAGCCCACATTTTTGCTCCCTCCTATCTCTCGGTGGACTGTCTGTGGGTCCCCAAGGACCACATTGGGAAACACTGCGGTACAGGATCGCAGTGAGTCCAGAATCTATCCCCAGAAGCATAGATACTGAGGCAACAGACCCCCCGGATGGGATGCCAGTCCATCACAGGGTACAGCTATTACTAATGGGTACTGTTTTGTTTCAGGGGTTCAAGGGTTTCAGGGGTGGACTGGAATGGATCATTAGGATTAAACATATTAGAAGAGCCACGCACCGGACTTCCTGGAGCTGCTGTCCGTGGAGCAGGCGTAGTCGCTGGCCGCCAGCAGGAAGCATGTGCCGCCCGACCTGCGGTTCTTGTCCTGGCTGCTGGACCTGCGCATGGGCAGCCTTTCCTCGGGTGACATGGTGAGGTCACTTCCTCCACTGCAGTCACCTGACAACACTGGCCAAAGCACTGCACCATTTAGGGAACGAGATGCAACACGACAAACACCAACATCAAACGTGCACTGCGGTGACAGCCCATGCTCAAAGAAAAACAACAGCTGTGGTCAATGGGGAGCATCCATTGACCACTGAGTACTACAGTGTTAGATATACACACTTAGCTACAATACTGCATAAAGAAATGCACTCATTAACGTTAGCTCTCAATGCTACGGATATATTTACTTAACATTTTTTGTGCGTTAAGTAAATGACAAATAGATTTTTTTTATTTCAAACAAAAAAAAAATCATTTGTGCAATAAATGCATGCATCGCACGCAAGAGTGTGGTGCAGCAAAACCGGGTCCTCGCATGTGCCCGTGGCACATGGCCGGTTATAGGCAACGAGCTCAGCTCACAGTGCGATGCATCTGCATTCGCACATCAAACATCAAACATCCGCATATCAAACAAAAATTCATAGGCAAAATCTCAATGAAGCTGGTAGTGCAAATTCTGCCTCAGCGTGCCTTTTTTAAAACAATATTCAGTCACTTTATACCTCAAATTACTTACTTCTATTTATAAGTTATATCCTGTGAAACACTGAGATCCTGTACTCAGCACAATTAGTCTTTCATACATTGTCTTGTAGTTAGCAGAACTGGGTCTTACTGATAAACACTTTAAAGGTGTCCTAAACGACTTCTGTCCATTGTTGATGATTGCCTTGGTTACCGTTGAGTGACACACCCTTCCGCCTCACCTGATCTGTTGCACTCCAGCACCCGGTTTCCCTTGTTGTGGCAGGTTTCCACCTGGGTGCTGTTGCACCCTATATTATGCTCTGCCTTGCAGTAAGTGGGTGACCCCCCCTGGGCCGTTTGAGGGATGTGCTTCTTCCTCTTCTTGGGCAGCTTCTGCTTGGCCATGGCCAGTGAGTAATACATCCCAAAGTTGTTGACGATGACGGGCACAGGCATGGCGATGGTCAGCACCCCTGCCAGAGCGCACAAGGCACCCACCAGCATGCCTGACCATGTCTCAGGATACATGTCGCCGTAGCCTAAGGTGGTCATGGTGACGACTGCCCACCAGAAGCCAATGGGGATGTTTTTGAAGCGCGTGTGGTCGCTGGCTGTAGGGTCATTGGGGTTGGCGCCGATGCGCTCGGCGTAGTAGATCATGGTGGCGAAGATGAGGACGCCCAGCGCCAGGAAGATGACGAGGAGCAGGAACTCGTTGGCACTGGCTCGCAGCGTGTGGCCCAGGACCCGGAGGCCGACAAAGTGGCGGGTCAGCTTGAAAATCCGCAGGATCCTCACGAAGCGGACCACCCGCAGGAAACCCAGCACGTCCTTGGCGGCCTTGGAGGAGAGCCCACTCAGGCCCACCTCCAAGTAGAAGGGCAGAATGGCCACAAAGTCTATAATGTTCAGGACGCTCTTGACAAATTCCAGCTTGTCTGGGCTGAAGATGACACGGACCAGGAACTCAATGGTGAACCAGAACACGCAAACGCCCTCCACATATGTCAGGGCTGGGTCAGTCTCGATCTCGTAATGCGGCCCCAGGTCTGTGCTGTCGTTTCTTATCTGCTCCGTCTTGTTGATGATCTTGTTGAATGCCTCGTGGGTCTCCAGGCAGAAGGTGGTGATGGACACGAGGATGAAAAACAAGGATGCAAAGGCCACAAACTGTGAAGGACGACAGAACAAATTAATCATCAAGCTCCTACCACTAAAGTCTAGCAGCTTGGAAACAGCTAATGGAAGGAAGTCACTTAATGAAGTGCTATGATAGTCTAGTTCTCTTGATGCAGTGTTTTTAGCTGTTAACACATTCATCTAATAAGGTCCACCTGCCAAACATGAGTCGAACACCTCATTGGTGCAATAAACTTGGTCTATTGGGGATTTGTTGATGGTTGTTAAACTACCGTAACTAATCTTTAAAAAGACGTTCTTATGATCGACTGAGGGAGGACCTTGGACCCACCCTGTCCATTAAAGCCAATGTGAAGGCAATCTGTCATCACAGAATTCCAGCTTTGGGATTCATTTGCTCCCAAGTAACAACTGGAGCGAGGCTGATTTGTCTCTATCGCACTGTTCTTCTCGGGTATTGACCTCCTCCAAGTCAATACCCTATTGCCGCTTCCCAAACTGCTGCGGACTGCATCGACGCGGTCAAAATGAGGACACCGGTAATGAGGTGATCTTTCTTCATGGTGCAGTGTACTGACCTTCTGCTTTCCTTGTCCATGTGGCCTTCTTCTGGATACTCTGGTTCTCTGACTGTCCTCCTACAGTTTATGTGAACTGGTGACTCACAATGAGTTTGTGTATGCATGAGTGAGTGCACTCTGGACTGGCATCCCATCCAGGGTGCCTCCTGCTTTGTGTTCTGCCCCTCCTGGGGTGGTCTCCGGGGTCACTTTGACCCTGTATTAGATAAGCAAGATGGATTGGTAGAAGTTGTTTGGTTGAGTTTACACTGTATAAGCCCTCTGTTAGTGTTACTTGACCCATCAATATGCAATTTTACACTAGGCCAGGACTTACTATTTATAAAGGCACACAAATTTAACAGAGTTCTCTTCATTTTGGTCACAGCCTGAGCTGTGAAACATCACTTGGTTAAGGGAAACTCTCTTCAGTATGCAGCCAAGCCCGGTCATCTCTTAAAACGCCCAACAAACTGCTGAGGGTTTTCTTACCATCTTCACATCTCGATTTATAGCTGCACAATTCAAGGAGCACAGCTGTCTTGACTGTGGTTGAAAGCCCTACCATCTATCCATCTTCCACAACTGCTTATCCAGTACAGGGATTAAGCGAGCTTGGAGCCCACCCCAGAAAGCCTAAGGCAGCGAACACCCGTGGAAGACGTGCCAGTCCATCGCAGGGCACACACTCAGACACACCAACTGCATGTTTTTGGAGTGCGGGTGGAATCTGTAGTCCCTAGAGGGAACTGTTTAGAAACATACGAACTCCACACACACGTAACACAAACCTGGAAGTGTGAGACCACACTGATATCCCTCAGCTGCTGTTCTGAGCATGATGCAATACCCAATGACTGCTTGCTGTGTGGAATGAAAGCCCAGCATTTGGGTAAGTAATGCTTCACTCTACGGTCAATCAGAGGTGTTGTCCGAAACACTTCTTCTTGAAACCCAAGCAGAATGTTACATCATGCTCTATGAAAGGCTCCTCTGCTATATATCTTCCTGCACACACACATGCATTTATGAATATATTCATTTATCTCCCCGTCCTGCTCCGACAGCTCAGGGTCGTACTGACCCTGGAGTCTGAGCCAAGAAGCAGAGGGTGTAAGGCAGCACGCATCCTGCATAGGATGCCAGTCCACCGCAGGTACCCACACGCATGCAGTCACGCAAGGGCAAGCCAGTGACACTGGTTCACCTGAGCAGCATGCTCTTGGAACGTGGGTGGGCACCTGTACTGACAGAGGGGGAACATGCGAGCTCAACTGGCACAGAGCTGGAGCTGGAGAAAGAGCGAGTGGGAGAGCAATATAGATCTCTGAATGTCAGGAAGAGGATGACTGCGCCCTGCGATGGACTGGCATCCCAGCTAGGGTGGCCCCTGTCTCATGGCCTGCGCTTCTTGGTATTAGCGGTAAAGCAAGAGCCAAAATTACAACACAAACCAAAATTAACCAATAAGTAAACAGATTTAAAAAAGTATATAGTAGCTGAAGTAGGTAGTGTCAATATATATATATTAAAAAATTAAATATTGCTACTGCCTAGTGCTCCCAGTCATGCAGTCCTTGGCTGTGCAAACAGGCAGACTTTACTGGATCCATGTTAATGTTATTACAGAGATATTTTATTCGTAACAACAATTTAAATGTCATGCAGCCGGCGAAAGTGTCACCGGGAGTGATATTGACTGTCTTGTTTTGGTCAACCCGCAGCTGGATACAGATGGCATTTCATCCTGGGGGGGGCAGAAACCAAGATCCCCCAGGCAAAAGGCCTTCCTCTGACCCCCCCTTGTTGGTCCCAGTGTTTCTCCTAAATTTATGAACTGCCCTGGGGGAGACGGAGACGCCCTGTGACTGATGAGGATACATCAGCGACCACAAAGCACCTGCAGTGCATGACATGCTAAGAATTGCTGAAAACCCTTTAGCGCTTAGCAGTGCATTGCTACAGGTTTGTGTGCGTCAAATAAGAGAAAGGGGCCATTACGTGTCCTACAATGGACGAGCGTCCTGTCCACGGTGTCCCCTGAGGAATCGGCTCCCAGAATACACTTAAGCAAAAGGAATGACAAAATGAATTCTCACGACTATCAACACACAGTTATTTCAAAATCTGTTAGCTGTTAGCAGGAGCTATCGTTGTATGCAACAAATGATGAAATGTTACAAAGAAAACAGCTGGTAATTAAAAGCAGTGCAAAACTGAATAAAATGCAACATTAGGGAAATGGTCATAATCTTTAAGGGGTTTGTTTCAAATCAGTTACATCCTTACTTTTATTGTAATGTGAAAGCGTAAAAAGGAACTTGGAATTTGCAGCTTGCTGGATATTTACAGCTGGCACATTGGCATACATATTTACATATGAATATTTACAGATGGGATATTTACATATGAATGTTTACAGTTGGCTTCTTCCATATTAATGGGGTTATCTCAATATATGGCTGGAAAATAATGGGCCTGTAGTTTGAATTTCACTTTGCTTTTTTTTCCTTGTGATTCTTACTTCCTACAACCACGATGACTAAATTAATTAGAACGTTAATAACATGCTGAGAAAAAATTGTACCCAGGTATTCAATAAGGTCATTGTGATAAGAGGGTAGGGTAGGGTGGGGTGGGGTGGGGGGGGGGCAGAATGACTGCTATTGTGACGTCATCAGCGGCTACCAGTAAATGACCCATGTTTAAAGCCACCGTCCCCTCATTTCCGCTTGGTTAGGTCCTCTCCGTCTCTGCACCACTGGTGGTCACATCATACATTTTTAATGAAAGGAAGCCTTTTTAAATGTCAGGTCTTCCTCTTTTTTTGCGAATAGCATACAGTTTTCATGAGCCAAAGAGCCCTTCGGTTAATTTTGCAGGCTTCTAAATTATGAACAGGAAGGAGAAGAGAAGGATCTGAAAACAGGGGGATGTGATCTCATTCTGAGTGCAGGACACTATGAGAGCAGAGTACGCAAAGCCAAAAATACACACGTCATGATGAAAGCTGCAATTACAGATAAAAGTTCATATAAAAGCATGTTTAGGTGATTCTAAATCTTTTCCTTTACAGATTTATTTACTGCTGACTGCTAAAAATTCAGGATACTTTACTTGACAAAGCAGCCTTCGGCACGAGTGGTAATGCCATCCATCCATCCATCCATCCCTTTATTCGTCTTGCAACCACTCACTGCTTCCCTGGTCAGGGTCATGGGCGTAATTTACAGAGCAGGGTAAAATAAACATCACTCTGAATTATCCACACTTTGCCCAAAAAGGAATCTTCTGAATGCAAACCTCAGTATACATATATATGTTTATGATTTTATACATTCTGATGGAAGACAGGCCGTATTACAGGTGAGAGTTGGATTTTACTGCTATTAACCTGAAGGTTATACAAGGTAATCTTACACATATACTCCCCCCGGCCCCAAATGATATTTCAGCAGTCACTGCACGCATTCAGGATCAGGGACAAACCTGGTGGTTTTTAATTAGGCCGTAGCCAATTGAAATCAAACCGCCCAGAGCCCCCTGAGTGCTCCCCTGACCCCCCCCCCAGATGAAGCCCGTGCTGAATTTCTGATACGGCCGTGTCGCGGCACGACCTTTTGTGAGCAGGCGTGCAGGTGGTCAAGTGAAAATGAAGCAACGTCTGAGCGGCTTGAGTGAAATAATCCGTGCCTCTTGTGCCCTTGCTTAGTCACACAGGTACACTCTGGCCCGGATTAACCATATGGGCACTTGGGCATGTGCCTGGGGGCACAGTGTCCTCTGGGGGCACCAAGCAGAACAGCCCCCCTTTTAACAAATTAATGTGATTTAATATCTAATATATTTAATATGATCATTATATTGTTTTTTTTAATATGGCACTGATGTAAAAGCCTATGCAACATTCATGAGCCACCAATCAGCTCCATTTGAAGTCATGTGTGCTGTCGTTGCCCTGGGGCACTTAATACTGTGAATCCGAACCCTGGGTACACTGTATATCCGAAAGCATGTAGATTCCCCAATTAATTTGAGGAAATGCCTAATTAAGCCACACGCATTGCTGACGCACACAGTCACGAAAACTCCTGCAATGAACATTAGCAGCAGAACGGGTGGTTGTACAGATGAGGTCAGTGACAATCCACCTGGCACCACCATAGGACGCCATCTTTCCCGACAAGTCAGTGTGCCACCTTCCTGCGCTGCTAGAGCCGCCCTGGTCAACCACGAGCAAAGTGATGGTGAAAGTTAAAACGCCTGGGAGCAAGTTCAGTTACAGAGTGGTCGCCACACAAGCTCACAGAAAGGGACCTGATCACCCAACATCAATACCCAACCTGAATGGCAGCAGATCCCACCAGCAACGCTCCAACATCTAATGGAAAGCCTTCCCCGAGTAGAAGTTATTACAGCAACTAAGGGTAGACCATCTGCATATTTGTACCCTTGGTTTCGGAATGGATA